TTGTGAAGAGAAATCACTTATTTCGAAAAAAAAAAGAAAGAAAGCAATGTGAAAAATCTAGAAACAAAGAGTACACATGGAGGGTGTGAGATATCATTCTCATTGTCGAAAATCGTGCATATAAAAACACTTGATGCAAAATAAGTAGATAAAATGAAAGTCTTAAAAATGAAGAGTACACATAGAAGGTGTGAGACATCATTCTTATTGTCAAACTTTGTCTATAGGAAAAACTACTTATCTACTATATATATATAAAAAAATAAATATAGTGCAAACTTCAAAAATCAAGCCATAGAAAAAGAGAAATGTAGGAGCAATATTATTCTTGGATGAGTATTGATAATTAGAACATTTTGTAAATACATCTATGAGTGAAGAAGTGATAAAGATGTGAATAGAAGAAGTGAAGTCTAGATTGTTATTCCAAGGAGTGTTTAAACATTTAAGTGTTTGACATCATTCTTAAATACTTGATATAGGAATCGTAAGTGTCTAAAGGTGCATCATTTCTAATTGTATTTTTTTTTCTGTATTGAAATATGATTTTTGAGATTTATAAATTTTTATTTTCGTAATTTCATTACTAAGGGACTAGCAATGATTTAAGTTGGGGGGTGTGATAAGTCTTCATTATCATGAGTTAATAATTAGTAAATAATATAATTTTAGCCTTAACTGATGATAAATATACTTATATTTGTGTTAAAGTGTGAAAAGTAGTTTTCAGCTGATTAATGTGATTTTTTGGGTAATTATGTGATTTTACATGAATTTATATGATTTTTATAATCTTGCTTTTAAGATAAATAAGGAAAAAGAAATAAAAAATAAAAATTAGACAAAACAAGAGGGACCCACCGGCCAACCGGGCCTGCAAGCGGGTTGGAAACTCAGTCAGGGAGTAGTCACGAGCAGGGGCTCGAGCGACTTAGACTGATAGGGGCATATGTGCGCCACTCCCCTTCCACATGTGAGTCCAAGAATACCTCCATTTGCATCATCTTCGTGAGCATAAAAGACAGCAATGGTGATGTAATCTCCATTCCATGCTTGTTGGAGGTACTTGCATCATCTCCCTTCTTTGGGGCCATCTTCTTGATCTTGTGAACCAAACAAAGGCTCTTTTGCAAAGCCAAGAACAACCTCAAGTACTTCAAAAAACTGTAAAAAATAACAAATTGGAAGTAGAATCAAGAATGCTCAATTGAATACAAGAACTGAAAATATGCAGCTTGCATTTTATCAAACACATAGTCTCTTATCTATAGGGACCCAATAGGAAGAGAAGAGAGAGTGAGTCTAACGGCTATTGAATGAGTTGGCACTATGTCTCATGTGGCCACTTATTCATTGTTATAACTCTTAGTGATGTGCGACTTAGATTAAGCCTACAAAAAGGAGAATAATGACCTGGAGATAGAAAATCCCTAGATTACTTCTACTGAAGAGTTTGCCGGACATGATGCCTTCTTGTAGAGCTGGAGCAATTCCTTCAATATGCACAAATTGATGTATATATGCGTCCATATGAGTAGTAAAAGGGATATGAACTCATGGATGCATTGGTAAAGTGTTTGACATCATTCTTAAATACTTGATATAAGAATCTAAAGTGTTTAAAGGTGCATCATTTCTAATTGTATTTTTTTTTCTGTATTGAAATATGATTTTTGAGATTTGTAAAATTTTATTTTCGTAATTTCAGTGCTAAGGGACTAGCAATGATTTAAGTTGGGGGGTGTGATAAGTCTTCATTATTATGAGATAATAATTAGTAAATAATATAGTTTTAGCCTTAACTGATGATAAATAGACTTATATTTGTGTTAAAGTATGATTTGTGATTTTTAGTTGATTAACGTGAATTTTTGGGTAATTATGTGATTTTATATGATTTTTCTAGTCTTACTTTTGAGATAAATGAAGAACAAGAATTAAAAAAAAAAATACTGCAAAATGGGGGGACCCGCCGGCCAGCCAGGCCCACAAGCAGATCGGAAGCGCAATCAGGGAGTAGTTGCGAGCAGGGGCTTGAGCGGCTTGGCTTGGACCGATAGGGGCACATGTGTGCCACTCCCCTTCCATGTCACTGGTGGCCAGCTGGCTGTGGGGCAAGGAATGGTTGTACACGTGAGAGTAGTGACTTTGGTTACAAAGCTAACATTACTATATATTCGCCTGAAAAATCAATGCACAACCAATGTGGGACTAAACCCATGTCACACCTTCCTCAAAGGCGGGTGACCGACAAGGGTTCGAATCCTCCCAGAGTCAAAATTCATATATTTTTATTTGATTATCTCGACTTTCTTGCAGATCGCCGGTGAAGGATTAAGCAACAAGAATCATTGGATCATCAGCAAAAATCTCATCAACACGATTCATGGAGTATTGCTACTAAAATTGCTGAACGATTCACAATAAAAGGATTGCAATCCATCGAGTAAATCATCTCCGATTGATCGACAAACAAGTCATCATCGGGAAGAGGACAATCCACCGAGAGACGAGTCGCCACCTCCTGAGAGCATACTAGATGCGATAAAGAGCCTCCTCTTGTTGTGTGGACTTGAGGATGAAGCTTCTTGACACACGCCCCACCTCCATCCAACTCCTCTTCGTCGGGTGACAGCCACTAGAGAGCCGCAAAGTCGCCATTTTTTCGCTCCGCCAGGTGACAGCCGCCAGAGACAATTCGACAACCCACTTTATTGATCTCTAGACTTCGCAAGAAGATCTAGAGATTGCTCATGTTGTCTTTATCCAAGGAAAGCCTTCGAGGCTGTGGACATTGAACAACGATCTTCCCGAACGCTCAGGATTCCGGTGCATTGCCGACACATCACTGTCACGACGTCAAAACTCTTTTTTTGTGCTTTCAACTTAATTTCTGTTTCATTTAGTGATAATTTGTCGATTTTAAATTTACCAAAATATACTTCATTTCATTACAATTCTTTTGTCTTTTACAGATCTTAATTTGATCAATTAAATCATCTATAATCACTTACGTAAGAATCTCCAGGCAGAACTCTGTTTCCGCCCGATTCGCATTTGCCAGGCGCTGACATCATCCTGATGTTCGTACCCTTATTTCCCTTTTTTGTGAATTTTAAATATATTTCTTCTCATTTCCTTGTATAAAATTCATAGAAAATCGTATTGATTGAGAAAAATTCTGAATAATTACTAGATATTATATTACATCCCTGTGATCAACTGGAAAATTACCGCTATTTTTGTAAGTTTTATTGAATTATAATTAATATATTTATTCATAAATACTTCTAAATATTTGAAAATTCATATTTTTTAGTTTTATAAATTTTATATTTGTGTGATTTAATATACAATGACTAAGTCATGTCAATGTTCATACATGATTCTTTATGTTTGGAAGAGCTTTGACATCTTTTTTCTAGGGCACATTCATTGATAAATATGGAACAAACCCAGTTATTGTGTTTGTGTCAATTCAATCTTCATATTCTTGAATCATGTTTTCGTTACATGCCCTCTTCCATTGTTTATTGCAGAGAAATGTTCAACACTCTTTTTGGGCTTAGCATGAACTTTTGGATGGCAGTCAACCTGATTTCTTCTTAGATCTTGAAATGGGTTGCTTGGTTCTATTAGAGTATATGCTTCTACTTAGGACTCTATCAAATGCCAAAGAAAATACATATCATGTTGGTTAATATAGACGACTATTTCTGCTTTACTCTTTTCTTTCTTACTTCGATGATTGGAATAAATTTGAATTTCTTTTGTGAGGCATATGTTGTAGAAGTTTCTCCTAAAAAATATCAAGCTTTTGCAATGTTGCTTGTAAGAGATCTTACTGACTTTCATGATAATTTTGTATAACTTGCTTCCTCAAACTGAATTTATTTTTATGTTTTGTGATACTTATATTAAAAAACTTGTCACCTTGTTTAAGATCACACATGATGATAAGTTCCCTTGGGCATCCTCAATGAGGAAGTTAGAACACCTTTTGGAATGCATCTTTCATAGTGCATATTACATTAGGTTGGGAGTGTATTATTTATACAATTATTATCATGGATTTAAAGAAATGTGTGGGTATCTTCTTGGGCTTGGCTTCTAAAGTTTTCTTAACCCTGATCACATTGTAGATATGATGCAACCCAACTTCTCCCCTAAAAACTTAAAATATTGTCATATACGACCTCAAATAGGATATACGTTTACCCAATTAGCTTTGGTATGTTGGGAACTTAGGTTTTAACACCACTTTCAGTTTAAATTTCTTGGGTTAATGATAAGTCTTCATTATCATGAGTTAATAATTAGTAAATAATATAGTTTTAGCCTTAACTCATGATAAATAGACTTATATTTGTGTTAAAGAATGATTTTTGGTTTTCAATTGATTAACGTGAATTTTTGGGTAATTATGTGATTTTATACGATTTTTACAGTCTTACTTTTGAGATAAATGAAGAACAAGAAATAAAAATAAAAATATCGCAAAAATGGGGAGACCCGCCGGCCAGCTGTGCCTGCAAGCGGGTCGGAAGCGCAGTCGGGGAGTAAGCCGCGAGCAGGGGCTCGAGCGGCTTGGCTTGGGGACTGATTGGGCACACGTACGCCACTCCCCTTCCACGTCACCAGTGGTCAGCCGGCTGTGGGTCAAGGAGTGGTCATACATGCAAGAGAAGGAACTTTGCTCACAAAGCTAACATTATTATATATTTGCCCAAAAAATCGGCATATAACCAATGTGGGACTAAACCCCCCTCACACCTTCCTCAGAAGAGGCGGGCGACCGGCGCGGGTTCGAATCCTTCCAGAGTCAAAATTCATATATTTTTATTTGATTATCGCGACTTTCCTGCAGATCGCCGGGGAAGGATTAAGCAACGAGAATTGCTGGATCATCGGCGAAAATCTCATCAACGCGATTTGCGGAGCATTGCTACTAAAATTGTTGAACGATTCGCGATAAAAGGATCGCGAATCCATCGAGTAAATCATCTCCGATTGACCGACGAACAAGCCGTCGTCGGGAAGAGGACGATCCGCCGGGAGACCAGTCGCCACCTCCTGAGAGCGTACCAGATGCGATGAAGAGCCTCCTCTTGCTGCGCAGACTTGAGGATGAAGCTCCCTAACACATGCCTCACCTCCATCCAGCTCCTCTCCGTCGGGTGACAGACGCCGGAGAGCCGCAAAGTCGCCGTTTTTTCGCTCTGCCGGGTGACAGCCGCCGAAGACGATTCGACGACCCACTTCATTGATCTCTAGACTTCGCGAGAAGATCTAGAGATTGCCCACGTCGTCTTTGTCCAAGGAGAGCCTTTGAGGCCGTGGACACTGCACGACGATCCTCCCGAACGCTCAGGATTCCGGTGCATCGCCGACGCATCGCCATCGCGACGCCGGAACTCTGTTTTCCTGCTTTCAATTTAATTTACGCTTCATTTAGTGATACTTTGTGTGATTTTAATTTACCAAACTATACTTCGTTCAATTACGATTCTTCCGGCTTTTACAGATTTTAATTTGATTAATTAAGTCGTCTGTAATCGCTTACGTAAGAATTGCCGGGCAGAACTCTGTTTCCGCCTGATTCGCGTTCGTCGGGCGCTGATGTCATCCTGACGCCCGCACCCTTATTTCCTTTTTTTCGTGAATTTTAAATATATTTCCTTTTTATTTCCTAGTATAAAATTCGTAAGAAAATCGTATTCATTGAGAAAAATTCTGAATAATTACGAGATATTATATTACATTCCTGTGATCGACCTGGAAAATTACCGCTATTTTTGGAATTTTTATTGAATTATAATTGATATATTTATTTAGAAATACTTCTAAATATCTGAAAATTCGTATTTTCTAGTTTTATAAATTTTATATTTGCGTGATTTAATATACAACGACTGAGTCACGTCAGTTAATAAAGTTGTGGATGTCCTATATAAAAGTATTATGAAATAACATCAAATCACGAGAGAAATTCTTTGTATGTACAACGGTTGGAATAGTCTAGCAGTTTATGTGGAGAGCATTGAGACATCCCATTTCTCTAGGAAAGTAATTCTTATTCTTAATTTTTCAGCAATATACTGTTGCATTCTGTAAAACTGAAAATCTAAGAAACTTTGCTTACCTTTTTGTGCTGTGGACTATATCCAGTTTTGTAGTGGTGTGGAATTTTTTCCCCTTAATTTAATTTAATTCCTTCTATTTTGTAGGATTAACTTTTTTGCTGAAATGGCCCTAGGCCATTTAACAATTTACTTCCTTTCAAGTTGCTATTGTGTGGGGCATAAGACTGAGAAATAACCTACAATTGGAGGTTACCTTGCACAGGTACATATATGGCCCATTGATGTTCTTGTGCATGGTTTCTGTTCAGTAAATTGTTCATATAGAGAAATAACCACTTCTGGGCTAGTAGTTTTTATTGTTCTCTTGCTCTCCTAGAGGCAATACTAAAAGTTGACGAGAAACTTTTCCCTTTCAAAAATTTTATACCATTATGTTGAGAGTTGAAGAATTTTGTAGGTTGTAGAGAGGATTAGTGGAGTAGTATCTTCCTCCTAGATAATCTAGGTGGATCTATAGATGATACTTCTATTGTAGGCCCAAGGGTTGGCCAGTGGGTATAGATTTCTGCCAACAACACTAAGATCTTCGCATGTCTCCAAACTAAGATAAGTATGCCTTATTGTTTATATAGCCCATTGTTTACCTTAATAAGAGTTCTAACAAGTTTTCACCCAAGTTTACAAATCTCCTTTGAAAGATCTAATACATACTTCCATCAGGTATGTAAACCCTTCATTAGATCTTGCTACTTCAAGGCCAAGAAAGTATTAAGCTTTACCAAGATCTTTGGCTTCAAATTCTTTACCAAGCTTTGTCTTTGATAGTTTAATGTCCACGTAAATTTTACAATCACGTCATATCATTATCATAAACCATTTAGTTATGAAACCTTTCTTCTTTGCCATTTTGTAAATAACATATGATCAACATTGCAATGTTCATAGTCAAAAGTGATCACTACACACGGGAGAAAATGACTCATTATTTGGAAATGTGATATTACTATATATGTGCCTAAAACTTCGGCACACAAGCGATGTGGGACTAAACCCGCATCACACCTTGCTTGAAAGCCTTTGAAGATTTTTATACCTAAATTATCTCTTAGTTATAACAAAGATATACTATGATGACATCACTTAATAAAGGCCTTAGAGTACTTTTTTCAATCTCTCTCATACAAGTGGACAACTAGTGCAGGTTTGAATCCTTCTAGAGTCAAAACTCATATTTTTATTTGATTATCATGACTTTCCTACAGATCGCCAGTGAAAGATTAAGTCGATAGAATCATTGGATCATTAGCAAAAATCTCGTTAACACAATTCGTGGAGTATTATTATCATAATTGCTAAATGATTTGCAATAAAAGGATTACAAATTCATTGAGTAAATCATCTCTAATTGATTGATGAACAAGCCGTCATCGGGAAGAGAACGATCAATTAGGAAATGAGTCGTCACCTCTTAAGAGTGTACTAGATGCGATGAAGAGCCTCTTTTTGTTGTGCAAACTTAAGGATGAAGCTCCTTGACACGTGCCCCACCTCCATTCAACTCCTCTCCATCAAGTGACAGCTGTTAGAGAGTCACAAAGTCACCATTTTTTTGTTCCACTGGGTGACAACCATTGGAGATGATTTGACGATCCATTTTATTGATCTCTAGACTTCGCAAAGAGATCTTGAGATTGTCTATGTCGTCCTTGTCCAAGAAGAGCCTTTGAGGCCATGGACACCGCACAATGATCCTCTTAAATACTTAAGATTCTGATACATCATTAATGCATCACCACCGCGATGTCAGAACTCTATTTTCCTACTTTCAACTTAATTTTTACTTCATTTAGTGATAATTTATGTGATTTAGATTTATTAGGTTATACTTCATTCAATTATAATTCTTTTGAATTTTACAGATCTTAATTTGATCAATTAAATCATTTACAACTGCTTATGTCAAAATTGTCGAGTAGAACTTTATTTCTATTTGATTTGCGTTCATTGGACACTAATGTCATCTTGACGTCTGCATCTTTATTTTCCTTTTTACGAATTTTAAATATATTTCATTTTCATTTTTTAGTATTAAATTTATAAACATCATATTTATTTATTTTTTTTGCAAAATTACTTGATATTATATTACATCCTTGTGATTGACTTAGAAAATTACTATTATTTTTGAAATTTTATTTAATTATAATTGATATATTTTTTCAAAAATACTTCTAAATATTTAAAAATTAGTATTTTCTAGTTTTATAAATTTTAAATTTACATGATTTACTATACAACGACTAAGTCAATCAGGTTCTCTATGACAAGGTGATTCTAGCTCATCCTTGTTTCACTTCAATGCTCAGGTAGGAGCAAAGCTGTCTAAGATCACTTATTTGAAAGAAATTCATCATTTGATCTTTCAATTTGCTAATGTCACTATCATTCTCACCCATGACTAATAGGTCATTCACATAGACTCCAATAATCAAGTGAGATTTGTTTGACCTCTTCAAGTAGACAGCCTGCTCATGATTACTCCTTGAGAATTCGATCGAGACAAGACATTTATGTAGTTTGAAATACCATGTTGTGGTGGTTGCTTAAGCCCCATAAAGGGCTTTCTTTAGCTTCAAGACGTGGTTTTCCCTGTCCTTCACAACAAAGCCTTTCGGTTGCTTGACATATAAGTCCTCCACCTCTCCATTTAGAAAGGCTAACTTTACATCGAGATGATGCAGCAGCCATCCCCCTATAAACTGCCTCTCCCCACAGTTCACAAGGCATTTCCTTCTCTTTCAGCATGCTTCTTACCATGGACATGATTATTTGGTTCTTTCTTTTGACTACATCATTCTGCTGAGGAGGGAGCAGTCAACTACCTTTTAATGCCTTCTAAACACAAAACACACTGAATTTATCAGAAGTGAACTCTCCACCTCTGTTTGAATGAAGACACTTCAGTTTCATGTTCTTCTCTACCTCAGCCAAGGCTTTAAAATTTTGTGATGAAATTCACTTGCATCATCTCAGATTTGCGAAATTTGGGTGAGATGATGGAAGAAAGAGAGATAATGCGGCAAGTTCTGAGAGTGACGCCTTCAAAGTTTGACTCTCTTACCTTATCTATGGAACAATATACTGATTTGGATAAAATCAGCCTCGACGAAGTCATTGGATCTCTGACTGTCCATGAGTTGCAGCTCAGGAAGCGAGAGTCCCAGGAGGAGGAGCAGACATTGCTTGCCAGAGCGTTGAGTAAAGGGAAAATCATGAGTGAGGAGTCCTCATCTCACGAAAGAGGTCGACATCGTGTGCACAGCAAAAGCAGAGGAAGAGGCCATGGCCAAGGTTGACATCCTCCTCCTGATGAAGGTAAAAAGAACTTCAATAAATCTCAAATACAATGTTATAACTGTGAGAAATATGACCATTTCGCTTACAAATGTCAACGTGCCAAGAAAGTGACGCCTAAGCAACCATATGTTGCTGCGTCCACAAAGAAGCCTAAAGTATCTTCACTTCTGATGATGATTTGGTAGAACACAATGAGTTATTACTTCAAGGCTTAGAGACTGAGCTCAAAGATCCGGAGTTGTGGTATCTTGATACTGCAGCTACTAATCACATGACCAGAAGGAGAAGTTATTTCTCAAATCTTGATGAATCAGCCTTTGGATTTGTCAAAATTGGTGACAACTCATGTGTTGAAATTCAAGGTAGAGGTAGAGTCCTTGTTCATCAAAAGGATGGAGAGAAAATTCACTTTGGTAATATTCTCTTTGTTCCCAAATTATGTGCTAATATTATAAGTTTAGGTAGATTAGATGAAGAAGGCTACAAGATGGTCATGTATGGAGGCTGATTGACCATTTTTGACCAAGATGGAGCACTGTTAGCAGAAGTTCATCGAATAGATGGGAAGCTTTATTTACTCAAGCTAAATGTGATAAAACTATGCCTAATCACTAAAGAAAATGAAACTACAAGCCGAGGTTTGGCCACTTTAATTTTTCACACATTAAAAGAAATGTCGAGTAGGAAATTAGTGGAGGGACTTCTACTGATCAGTGTTCCTGATCACATCTGCTGGAGTTGCCTTATAGGAAAGCAACATCGCACTCCATTTCTTAAAGTTTCTACTTTCAGAGCCTTACAGCCCTTCGAGCTGGTGTATGTAGACATATGTGACCCAACTAGTCCACACACATTAGGGGGGAAGTCAGCATTTCGCCGTCTTCTTTGCATCAAGCATAATCATCATCTCTTCCGGATATTATGCTAAAGATTGCCAACAATGCCAGCCGGTCTTTCTTCTCGGATACATTCTCTTCGACTATCGCCTGCCATAGATCGTGAGAGTCAAGATATACCTCCATATTTATCACACAGATGTAGTAGTTCGTCTTTGAGAGCTTGAAGGATGGTGCCGACAACACCATCTCCCCCTCACACTTGCTGGAGGTACTCACCGTGCCTCCTTTCTTCACCATCTTCTTGATCCTGTCGAACCACTGTTGGCTTTGATACCACTGTTGGCTTCACAAGCCCGAAGTCACTCCAGAAATAGAGGTAAAAGATAAGAAGGTAATAGGAACAAAGAAAATGTATAGAAATGATTGTTTTCCACTACATTGATTCATTGAATACATAGCCCTTTATATAGGGCAGCCAATCACTAGAAGTGAGAGAGTGCATCTATTTAACTTGAATGACTTGGCTAGACATCCGATGTTGCAGCACCACTGCCGTTATAACTCGTAGTGATGAGCGGCTGCGATTGATCCTGCAAAATAAATATAACGAACATAATAGAAAGGAAAATGGCCAAATTTTTTATTTCAGGAAACATCACCATTGTCCGCAATTGACGACAGAGCAGGAGCAGTTCCCCATCAATCTGAATTTTTATTTCGCTCTTTACTGGATCAAAGGTTTTCTACTTCATCTGTATGTCATTCTTGTTAGTTTGATTGAATCATTCGTGTGCATGGTTTCTTCAGCCTCCAGTCAGGAAAAGGTATAAGAGAGATCTGCGATCATCCCAAAGGACGATCAGAACCTGAATCTATGATTTTGAAACCTGAACCAAAGTCAAACATATTGGAGCCCTAGTTTGCATAAATCCTCATTGCTTTGCAGTCTTCTTCCATCTGACACTTGAATTGAGTCGTAAGTTTCTAAGAATGGTGAATATTCATTGAGAAAGTGGATTCGGACAATAGGCAATAAAGAATAAAATATCCGTGTATAGACATGACCGATACGATTAATTGATCAAAAATACATCGAATGTGATTATAGATGATTGCAGTCAAAAAGTCATTAAACGTAAACACTCTGTCCTTACCTCTCTACCATATTTAACATCCTATATGCTCTGTGATCTTCTGTGAGAGTTGCCATTTCTTGAAGTTCAAACTTCTCATTAGGCTGTATTTTGAATTTCGATCAGATGATCGTCAATACTGGAATGATCTTGCTTCAAAACAACACTGTGGTAATTTTCTATCCTCATATGTTATAATTTACCATTTGTTTTAGTTCCCTCGAACATATGTGGATATAATTTACCATTTGTGATAATTTACCATATGTGGTATTTCACTGAACATTTGATTCCTTTCCCCTGCAATCAGGAATGACACCAAAGGGGAGCTGCGAATGGCATAGCTATGGCTTTTATGTCTCTCTTCGAAGATGGAACCCGAGCAGCTGTTGGTGCATTGTGATTGCCTTAACCATTCTTTTGACTATTGAAATATCTCTTTGCTTTGGTTCTGGGAAGTACTCTCTAGGCAGAGATTTTGAATCGGAGGTATAGTTGAGACGTGCAATATGGAAGGGGGACATGGCTGACGTAGAAATTAAAAAATTCAGTCAGTTAGCTGATTGCTTAGATAACAGAGCATGTCCCTCTCCCATTCTCACTCATTTATGTATTAACCCAGAGATAAATTTTCATCTCTTGATATAAAAGAAGTTTGTTGATTTCCTATTGGAAGAATCAACTTCCCAATATCTTTCCCAGTCAAGTGGTTTGTGCTTTCCACTGGGGATGTTGTTCAGGATAAAAATATTGTGCTTTCAGAGTTAGTTTTCAAAAAATTAATAGGAATGCTATTTGATGACCCAAAATAACAAAAAGAATAAGTATGCTGGAGGTTTGATTCAGTCCTAAATTTGGTTGTGCGCTGACCTTCTTGGGCCCAGAAATGCCAGACCGCTCCATTTCTTCCAGGTAATGATGCAAAAATAACCTTCAAATCAGCGGATAAAATGTGATTATATATCTGACTTCACAATTGATGATATCTAACTAGAAGTCAACTCGTCATCGGACCATTCACTGTGTTCATACTTGAGCTGCTGGGTCCTCATAACTATCTAGAATCATGGTATCAATGCGAGCCACATCTTTTTGATATGCAGATGATCAGGTGATCTTCTTTGCACTGAACGTAGTTGACCATATTGGCATTCTATTGACTTGCAGACCGTTCCTTGCTCTAAGAAACGAGCCTTCTTCTTCATAGGCCAGAATGGAGACAGAGAGAGAGCTCTTCTGTTCACTTTACGGTTTCTCTCCCACTGAACACTGGCGGAAAATAAAATGATTACAGTGTACTGCTTAGATGGTCAAAGTTCCCGGGCCCTTAGACTGCCAAGTCGGCCGGTCAGACTCATTCGCCTTCACCTGATCCCCCTGGTTTTTGGAATTTGATCGAACTGCTTTTTAGACTTTTTTCTTTGTTTTATATCTTGTTTTTTAGCTCACTGATCAATTTTCTATAAATTTGATATTTTCTTCTATCTGACTGGTGTATGAATGTTGTTCATCGTGATCTCAAGCTCTTGGATGGATACAGAAACCATATCATGATATTCCTTTCTGTGTGGGTGTAAATGTCGTCTGATATCTGACATTACAATCGTGATGTTATTTTCTTGGTTGCTCACTAAACGGCTTGTTTGGACGATCTGGGTTAGTCAAGGAGGAACAAGACAATTCGTGGGACTGTATGATTAATACCGCAAAATAGACCAATTGGACCTAGGCAGCAGTTTGTTAGTCGGTGAATATAATTTTGAATAAAAGATTCAAAGGTGGAATGCCTAGTCTATTTTGGAATCTAGAACGAGTCAACTTGTGGAGAGAGTAACATCTCCGGGAAGCTTGGGTCAAACTGGATGCAGATTCCTCGAGCCCATTAAATGCTAATGGAAAAATGACCGTCCAATATTACTCGAATTAGGTTTTTCTAACATTTGAGTAATGATTTGCAGTTCGGCGTGGAATATTGATGCGTAAGCCTTTTGACGCCGCGTGAGGAGCTTTCACTTGGTCTGGTGTTGGGTCCAGGTCGCACCTGCCCTCTGGGTTTGGTGGGTGTGTTGGTGGTGCAAGGTTGACTAGTTGTCTCTGGGCTTGTGTGCGTGTTAATATAGTCGGGGGGGAGAGAGGGAAAGAAAGAGAGAGACGTTGCGGTCAAACTATGGTTATCTTGGCCTGACTATTCCATGTTTTAGCGTTCCCCCCTCTTCCCTTTCCCCTCCCCCTTCCTTATCTATCTGTCGTCTAGCTATTTATGTAGAACGTTCGTTTTTATTTAGAGAATTAGGTTTCTTCTAGTGTGCTTGGTTGGCATCAATGCTACAGCTGTTGGGAGAGAAAATCGTTGACAACAGATCTCCGTAAACAATGGAACGGCTCAAAGGTGGAATGCCTCGTCTATTTTGGAATCTAGAACGTGTCAACTTGTGGGAGAGAGTAACATCTCCGGGAAGCTTGGGTCAAACTAGCTGCAGATTTCTCGAGCCCATTAAATGCTAATGGAAAAATGACCGTCCAATATTACTCGAATTAGGTTTTTCTAACATTTGAGTAATGATTTGCAGTTGGGCGTGGAATATTGATGCGTAAGGCTTCTGACGCCGCGTGAGGAGCTTTCACTCGGTCTGGTGTTGGGCCCAGGTCGCACCTGCCCTCTGGGTTTGGTGGGTGTGTTGGTGGTGCAAGGTTGACTAGTTGTCTCTGGGCTTGTGTGCGTGTCAGTATAGTCGGGGGGGAGAGAGGGAAAGAAAGAGAGACGTGCTGGTTGAGTAGTCACATCTGAGTTAAAATAAAGATAAGAGTAGTAGGTAGGATACCATGGCTTTTATGAAAAAATTGTTAATTAAACTGAATAAATAAGTTCCGTTTTTTCTTGAGCACAAAAGTAGTAAACACCAAAAGAACAGTACAATTGCGATTGGGCATTGGCTTGGGCTAAGCTTCTTGAGACCGTTTGCCTATTTTCCTTGTTCAAGGGTTAACCCTGGCGATTTTGAAATAGGTCTCTACACTAAAGCTTGGCATACTTATGGCTTAATTTTATACAAATATTTCTTTTAATTTGAGTTAACTTCTTCTGCACTCATCTAAGCCAAGAGAAGAGCCTAGAAAATAAGAAATAGCCTTAATTTCTATGAAGCATGGCCCTGCCTTTAGATAACTAGGAAAACCGTACTTGCATCATAATGTCACTTGTATGAACGTTAAATGATAAATTATTGTATTAATATGAAGTTATAATTTTACACAACATCGATTTTATAACATTAGAAGATTCTTCGTTCAAAGTCAATCAATGTGGGCCCAAAACAATCGATGGAGTCAAACAAGGCCAATTAAATTGCTCAAAATCCCAAGTGTTTTATCCATTGAACTGCAGATTTGTGAAGAAGAGTCTCAATGAGCCAAGTACCTTGAAAGCTTTTTTACTGTCACTGATAGTACATGAGCGGGATTCCATATTGTCGGTAATGGCACGTGGGCTCGTTTACCTTGCAAATAAAAGCGAAGGTTCAAGATCCTACGATTAAATAAAAAGCCACGTTGTTTACGTTTTCTGGAAAATGTTTCTGTTTCTCCCTCGACGCGAAAAGATAAGATCTCAATCCATAGTCCCGTTTCACGGGGTATATAACTGACCCTCGCCGGGGAAAGAAGATGAACTAGCAAGGAGAACGTCGAGGCAGCCATTGCAAGTAAGAGAGTGACTATCCAAAATGGAAGCCGTCGAGGCAGTTCAAGTGACCTGCGACATCCTTCTCGAGCCCTACCATTCGCCTTTCTCCCCACCCCAGTTTCCCCAAAACGCTGAGTTCCCCCTCACGCCCTTCGACGTGGCCACCTACAACTGCCATATCTGCATCCTCTACGCCTTCCGGCCGCCGATGCCGGACAACGCCGCCCTGCGGGAGGGACTCGCACGAGCCCTCGTTTACTTTCCTCACCTTGCCGGAAGGTTCGACTCTGACGAGTATGGCTACCCAAAAGTTGTTCTAAACGACGCCGGCATCCGCCTCAAGGAGGCCATAGCACCGTCCACGCTGGAGGAACACCTGCCCTTCGATCCCTCCGCGAGCTTTCTAACATTGCATCCACACCCAGCTGAGGGGGTTGAGGTGCTCCTCCAAATTCAGCTCACCCGCTTCTCCTGCGGCGGTCTCACCTTGGGTATCACCGTCCACCACCACATAGCGGACGGCTCCTCCCTTTGCCATTTCCTCCTCACTTGGGCGAAACTGGTACAGGGCCGCGATGTGGGCACTATGCCTTTCTTCGGCTGGAGCTCCGTCTGTGCTCCTAGGATCCCGGCTAGGGTGGAGTTTGACCACCTCGGCGTCGAGTTCAGGCCCAAGAGTGGAGCCACCCGGCCTCGGACGAACGTCGGAATTAACCTGTCTAAGATGTGTAACCAGTCCTTCCACTTCTCCAACGAGTTCATCGGCAAGCTCAAGGCCATTGTCAACGGCGGCGACCCCGGTCAACGAGTGACCACGTTCTTGAGCGTCCTCACCCATATATGGAAGAAGATAACCTTTGTCCGCAGGCTTCCTGACAACGAGATGACCCAGGTCAGACTTACTGTAAACGGCCGGCCGAGAATTAAGCCCCCCGTGCCGCCGGAGTACTACGGCAACCTTGTCCTCTGGGCCCATCCCAAACTTACGGTCGGAGAGGTACTCCGGTCGAGCTACTCCCACGTGGCACAGGTGATCCGCGAGGCCATCGTAAAGGTGGACGACGGCTACTTCAGGTCGTTCATGGACTTCGGAGAGCAACTTAAGGGGAAGGGAGGTGCAGAGATCGTTGTGACCCTCCCTGAGGTTGGCGACTTTCTAAACCCCAATATCGAGATCAGTAGCTGGTTGAGCCTCCAATTCCACCAGCTGGATTTTGGCGGCGGAGTCCCAGCAGCCCTCTTGACCCCAGGGCTCCCGGTGGAGGGGTTAATGATGCTTGTTCCATCATGCGGAGAAGGCGGCGGCGTTGACTTACATCTCTGTCTTGAGAAGAGCCAGGCAGCCAACATGAGGCAGGTCATGCATTCCCTCGACTGAGCTCAAGAAAATTATGTTTCCCGTCTGTTGTGATGATAGTCTGTGAATTGGATCTTTGCCGAGGGTTGTATCTGATGTTACTGCAAGTGATGTGAATGATAGTCTTGACTAGCTACTATGTCTCGCTTCCTGATGATTGAACGCAATAGCATCTTCTTTCATGTGAAACGAACCTGACTTAGTGGCAAGCTCTTCCACCTTTCATCATGAGACAGTACTAACTTGATGTATGTGTTGGCTTCACAAGGCCATTAACAACGTCAAGTACTTCAAAAAACTCAAAACAACAAGAAATTGGAAGTAGAATCAAGAATGCTATATTGAATACAAGAACTGAAAATATGCAGCGCATATTTCATTGAACACAGTCTCTTATTTATAGAGACCCAATAGGAAGAGGAGAGAGAGTGAGTCTAATGGCAGCTGAATGAGCTGGCACTGTCTCACGTGGCCACTTATCTGCCATTGTAACTCTCGGTGATGTGCAGCACAGATTAAGCCTGCAAAAAGGAGAATAATGACTTGGAGATAAAAAATCCCCAAAATCGTTTCTGCTATAAAGTTCGCCAGACTTGAAGCCTTCTGATAGAGTTGGAACAATTCCTTCAATCTCCTCCTTGCTCTTGCTCCTCTGTACGAAGACTTTAAACTCTAAGGCGCCCTCACATCTCTTGAAATTTTTGTCTTCCAAGAGCTTTGATGAGAATATCAGCCAATTGACCCTCCGTCCTAATGTAGAGGATTTGGATTTTCTTATCTTCAACACACTGATGAATGAAATGGTATCGGATGTCAATGTGCTTCGTTCGATTATGATGGACTGGATTCTTACTCAATGTAATGGCCAATTGATTATCCACCATTAGTTTGACTACCTTTGGCTTCACCCTTTTCATTTCACTGATTAGGCGCTTCATCCACATCCCCTGACAAGTTGCTGCCATGGCTGCAATATACTCGGCTTCACACGAAGATAAGGCAATGATGTTTTACTTCTGTGATGACCAACTGATGGCCATCCCTGAGAGGAAATAAATGTGACCAGAGGTGCTCTTCTTATCATTTGCGTCTCCTGAAATCGCTATCACTAAACCCAGTTAGTTCAGAATTTAAACTACTTTTCTTGTAGAAGAGCCTGTAGTCAATTGTGTCTTTCACATATCTCAGAATTTGCTTGACCCCACTAAGATAGTCTGAAGCAAAATTCTTCACGAATTTGCTTCCCAATGAGACTTCTGAATTTCGTGGAATTCACCTTGTGCTTGCTTCATTGTGGGTGAATTTTCCTCGGGCTTTAAGTAGTGTGAAAACAACATTGCAGTCTTCCATCTTTGCACGCTCTAAAATCTTTAAAACATAAGTTTTATGAGATAAAAAAATAAAGTCTTCATCTTGTTTGACCTCGAGTCCCAAATAAGAGCTCAATGATCCAAGATCAATCATTTCAAATTTCTGCTTCATTCTTAACTTGAAATCTTCAATACATTCGGAACTAGACCTTGTTATGATTCAGTCATCAACATAAACTCCAACAATTAAGACTTCATTACCTGATCTCTTGAGATAAAGAGCTTATTCATAGTTGCTCTTGTTACATCCGAGAGAGACTAGACACTTATGAAGCTTGAAGTACTAGGCCTTTGGAGCTTGCTTTAAGCCATACAAGACCTTCAATCATAGGATAGAGCCTTCTCTACCCTCCACAATGAAACCATCTGACTACTTCACATAAATCATCTTTTCAATTTCCCCATTTAAGAAAACGGTCTTGACATCAAGATGATGAATTATCCATCCTTCTAGAGCTGCTAAAGCAATTAGAGCTCTTATGGATTTGAAACAAACCACTAGGGCAAATACTTCCTCATAATCAATCCCTTGCCTCTGTAAGTATCCTTTCACTTGTGGGGTTGACTTTCTTTAGAGTCACTTTGAGGGGCTGAATTCACTTCTCAAAAAGTAGTGACCTCCACATCTTCAATGTCAGCATTAGAGTCTTCTTCCATACCTTGATCATATAGAAAATCATGTAAGAAGGTATAAGAAGGAGAGATTTCACCTTACTTTGTTTAATCCCACTTGTCATTTTTGTCGAAAAATGAAATCTCGGCTGATGTTGACCTTGCCTTTGATAGGGTCATAACATCTATTAGCCTTGGATCCAATCTCATAGCCAATGAAGAACAGGGGTTGACCTTGACTTTGGTCTTTCACTTGCAAGTAAAAACTTGCAAGTGACCAATGTGAGGCTTTCTTTTGGTCCACATCTCATAGGGAGTTTGACCCTGCAAACTTTTAGTAAATGACCAATTAAGAATGTAAATAGTAGTGCTTACCACTTCTCCCCACAACTCTCGAGGAAGCTCCTTATTCTTCAACATGGCTCGGACCATGGACATCACAATACAATTCTTCCTCTCCATTACCCCATTTTTCTAAGGTGAGTAAGGTGTGGTCAATTTTTTTTAATGTTGTGAGAAATACAATAATTAGTAAATTCTTCAGAAGTGAATTCTCCTCTGTCTAATCTGAAATTCTTGATCCTCACTCTTTTTTCTATTTCTACTAGAGTTTTGAATTGCTTAAAGGCCTCAAATGCATCTGATCTTTGCTTCAACATAGCCATCCATGTAAGTCGAGAGTAATCATCAATGATGAGGAGAAAATACCTGCTTCCCCTTAAGGTGGGTGGGGTAATTGGCTTGCAGATGTCAACAAAGATGAGTTCTAGAGGCTCATATGCTTGGAATGAAGAGGCTTGAGGAAATGACATCTGGTGTTGCTTTCTAGGAACACAATTACGGTAGAGATGATTAGGTACACTGATCTGAGGAAGTCCGTCCACAAGATGTTTGCTGGAGATCTCCTTTAAGGAATGAAAACTGATATGTCCAAATTGAGAGTGACATAGCTAATTCTTAGAACTGTCACCAGTATGAAGTAAACACTGATCCACCACTATTAACTTCAACAAGTAAAGTTTTCCTTCAGATTTGTGCACCTCAGCAAAGAGATGACCACTTCAATAAAAAATGGTCAACTTACCCCCTTGCATCATCATGCATCAGCCTTCATCATCTAATCGCCCGAGACTCATAATGTTGGCTACTAATTGAGGTACAAATAGCACATTAGGAAGTCGGAGAAGTCCACCATCTTTTTGACTAATCAAAATATTGCCAGGTCCTTTAATTTGAACCCTCAAATTATCTCCAAATTGACAAATCCAGATGCAGTCTCATCGATGTCTTCAGAGAAGTTTTGACGACTGGACATATGATTTGTCACTCCAGTATCAAGATACCAGAGATTGGGATTAGAGAGCTCACCCTCAAAACCTTGAAGTAGCAAACCATCATGTTCCTCCACAACAGCCATCAGAAGAGAAGATTCCACAGCTGGAGTAGAAGAATCAGCCACATATGCTTGTTCCTCCTTCCCCTTCTTCATGCTTCAGCACTCGTAAGCAAAATGCCCATATTTTCCACAATTGTATCACTGAATTTGTGATTTGTCATAATGTGTCTTCACATTTTCAAGAAGTGATTGTCAACCATGGCCACAACCTTTGCCTCTACCTCTATGATGGCCATGACGTGACTTAGTTGTTGTATAGTAAATCACGTAAATTTAAAATTTATAAAACTAGAAAATACAATTTTTCAGATATTTAGAAGTATTTCCAAACAAATATATCAATTATAATTCAATAAAACTCCTAAAAAAAGCAGTAATTTTCTAGGTCGATTATAGGGATGTGATATAATATCTGATAATTATTCATAATTTTTCTCAATAAATATGATTTTCTATGAATTTTATATTAAGAAATAAAATGAAAATATATTTAAAATTCACAAAAAGTAAAAAAAGGGTGCGGATGTCAGGATGATGTTAGCACTTGGTGAACACAAATTGAACAAAAATAGAGTTCCGCTCGATGATTCTTACATAAGTGATTACAGATGATTTAATTAATCAAATTAAGATCTGTAAAAGTTAGAAGAATCATAATTGAACAAAGTATAATTTGGTAAATTAAAAACATAAAAATTATCACTAAATAAAGTGTAAAGTAAGCTGAAAGCAAAAAAACAGAGTTCTGGTGTCACGATAGCGATGCATTGACGATGCACTGAAATCTTGAGCATTCAAGAGGATCGTCATGTAGTGTTCACAGCCTCGAAGGCTCTCCTTGGACAAAGACGACGTGGGCAATCTCTAGATCTCCTTGCAAAGTCTAGAGATTAATGAAATAGGTCGTCGAATCGTCTTCGGCAGCTGTCACTTGACGGGGAGGAGTTGGATGGAGGTGGGGTGCGTGTCAAGGAGCTTCATCCTCAGGTCCGTGCAGCAAGGGGAGGCTCTTCATCACATTTGGTACAGTGGTCAGCTAGCTGTGGAGCAAGAAGTGGTCGTACACGCAAGAGAAAGGACTTGGTTAGAAATATAACATTGGTATATATTCACCTGAAAAATCATTGCACAACTGATGTGGGACTAAACCCGCCTCACACCTTCCTCAGAAAGGGTGGGCAACCGGTGCGGGTTTGAATCCTCCCAAAGCCAAAAGTCATATATTTTTTTTCTGATTATCGTGACTTTTCTACAAATCGTCAGTGAAGGATTAAGCAACTAGAATCACTAGGTCATTGGCGAAAATCTCATCAACATGATTTGTGGAGCATTATTAATAAAATTATTGAAGGATTTGTGATAAAAGAATCGCAAATCCATCAAGTAAATGATCTCTGATTGATTGACGAATAAGTTGTTGTCAGAAAAAGGACGATCTACGTGGAGATGAGTTGCCACCTCTTGAGAGCATACTAGATGCGATGAAGAGCCTCTTCTTGTTGTGCAGACTTTGAGGATGAAGCTCTCTAACATGCACCCCACCTCAATCCAACTCCTCTCTATTGGGTGACAGCTGTTAGAGAGCTGCAAAGTTGCCGTTTTTCTGCTCCGCTAGGTGATAGCTGCTAGAGATGATTCGACGACCTATTTCATTAATCTCTAGACTTCACAAGGAGATCTAGAGATTGCCCACGTCGTCTTTGTCCAAGGAGAGTCTTTGAGGCCGTGGACATTACACGACAATCCTCCTAAACACTCGGGATTTCAGTGCATTGCCGACGCATCGCCGTCGCGATGCCGGAACTTTGTTTTCCTACTTTCAACTTACTTTATGCTTCATTTAGTGATAATTTGTGTGATTTTATTTACCAAAATATATTTCATTCAATTACGATTCTTTTAGCTTTTACAAATCTTAATTTGATTAATTAAATCATCTGTAATCACTTACATAAGAATCACTAGGCAGAACTTTGTTTTGCGGGGCACTAACATCATTTTGACGTCTGCACCCTTATTTCCCTTTTTCGTGAATTTTAAATATATTTCTTTTTCATTTCTTAGTATAAAATTCATAGAAAATCATATTCTTTGAAGAAAATTCTGAATAATTCCAAATATTATATTACTTTCTATGATCGACTTGGAAAATTATCACTATTTTTGAAAGTTTTATTAAATTATAATTGATATATTTATTCAGAAATACTTCTAAATATCTGAAAGTTCGTATTTTCTAGTTTTATAAATTTTAAATTTATGTGATTTAATATACAATGACTAAGTCACGTCTATTGGCGTACTTTGATAATATACCCTCGACTTATGGAGAAGGTAGGTAAGGGTCGTGTTGTCTTGTGTATCCAAAGCAAGAGCGAAGCATGTTAGGGATCCATCTATGTTTGACATGATCTCGTACTGAAAGGAAGGTCACTTCATCACGATTAACCCAATACATGACTTAGGGTCATGCTTTGGCACAAGCTTGTTGGTATGTAGATACCAAATAAGTCGGCGATCTCGATACATGAAAGAGCAAGTGTTTGCTCTTCCCATGAGTTGGACATCATAGTCAAATAACCAGGGCTGTTCAAGTATGATGCCGCCGATTTTCATTAGAAGGACATCACACAAGATGTGCTCATCATAGGTGCTCACCCTAAGTGGCACCTGGCACTGTCAACAAATGAGTAGTGTGGTGGCATTTATCCACGATATGTCGTAAGGGGCTGGATGGTTGATAGTACTCAGCCCTCCCCTCTGTAAGACCTAGTTTGACACGACATTGATGCAACTACCACTGTCCACGATCACCTTGCACGTGTGTTCGTTGATCTTCACATAGGTGTAGAAGATTGACGTGCGAAGGAAATCGTCTATCGTAGGCGAAGATGTGGGCATAATCATCCTCAGTGTCAAGGTGATCTCTCTAGCTGCCATGGTGTCTAGCTCTGGTGTAGGAACTGCGTCTTGAGATGGATGTTGACAATGAAGTTGACCAGTCCCCTCGATGAAGTGCTCGTTGATGAGGCATTGAGAGGAGGCAGCTTCAGCTGCTAGTATGATGGCTGGCCGAATCTAGATGTAGCCAATCAAATCAAGAGTGTCATCACACTCCTTGGCCAAACCCTCGTTAGTAATGTGGACATCATCGCCTACGGGGGCGTCATCCTTTTGTGAACCGCTACCCAATTCTTTGATCTCTATGAGGAGATTTGAAGATGGGCATTGACTCATCCAGTGCCCCTTACCCTTACACTTGAAACAAGTGATATGGGCTTAGGACACGGCCGTAGCACGATTGGATGCGTCGGCTGGTGGCGGATGCAGGGGTAGTGTAGACCCTACTGATGTTGCTGGTGTAGTTCGTCCGTTCCCTATGCTAGTACACGTCAATGGTGTCATCGGTGTTTGTGCAGATCATGTGGACACGATCTTCGTGGTGATTAGAGGTGGGGTGTACTGTGTCCTCAGGGGGTCACTCCATATGCTCTACTATGCGATAGGCCTCGTCTACTTTAGACGAGTTGTCTTTCAGCACCTTGTTCTGAAGCCATGGACTAAGTCTGTGGGTGAAAATGCCCAAAACCACACGTGAATCTTCGACAACGCAACACCTCATGCGGCACTCCTCAAAAGTCTGAATATAGTCTCAGATGGGCATCTTACCCTATTAGAGGTCTAACTAATTGAGGAACAACATCGACTCATACTGTCGAGGAACATACTTGTTCCTCAAGTGTGATGTCATATCAACCCATGATGTGATGGGTTGCTCACGTGACTCAGCTGTTGTATATTAAATCACAAAAATTTAAAATTTATAAAATTAGAAAATATGAATTTTCAGATATTTAGAAGTATTTCTGAATAAATATATCAATTATAATTCAATAAAACTTCCAAAAATAGTAATAATATTTTAGACTGATCACAAGGATGTAATATAATATTTGGTAATTATTCAGAATTTTTCTCAATGAATATGATTTTCTATGAATTTTATACTAAGAAATGAAAAGGAAATATATTTAAAATTCACAAAAAAAGGAAATAAGGGTGTAGACATCAGGATGACATCACCACCCGGCGAATGTGAATCGGATAGAAACAAAGTTCTGCCTAGTGATTCTTACATAAGTAACTACAAATGATTTAATTAATTAAATTAAGATCTGTAAAAGCGAAAAGAATCATAATAGAACAAAATATATTTTGGTAAATTAAAATCACAAAGATTATCACTAAATGAAGTGTAAAGTAAGTTGAAAGTAGGAAAACAAAGTTCTAGCATTGCGACAGCGATGCGTTGGTGATGCACCGGAATCCTAAGCATTCGGGACAATCGTCGTGCAATGTCTATGACCTCAAAGGCTCTCCTTGGACAAAGACAACGTGGACAATCTCTAAATCTTCTCGCGAAGTCTAGAGATTAATGAAATGGGTCGTCAGTCGTCTCTAGCGGCTGTCACCCGGCGGAGTGGAAAAATAATGACTTTGCGGCTCTCTGGTGGCTGTCACCCGACGGAGACGAGCTGGATGGAGGTGGGGTGTGTGTCAGAGAGCTTCATCCTCAAGTCCACGCAGCAAGAGGAGGCTCTTCATCGCATCTAGTATGCTCTCAGGAGGTGACGACTCATCTCCAAGTGGATCGTCCTCTTCTTGACGACGGCTTGTTCGTTAGTCAATTAGAGATGATTTACTCGATCGATTTGCATCCTTTTATTGCGAATCTTTTAGCAATTTTAATAACAATGCTTTGCAAATCGCGTTGACGAGATTTTCACCGATGATCCAGCAATTCTGATTGCTTAATCCTTTACTGACGATCTACAGAAAAGTCACAATAATTAGATAAAAATATGAGTTTTAGCTCTAGGAGGATTCGAACCCACGCCAGTTGCCTTGCCTCTTCTAAGGAAGGTGACGAGTTTAGTCCCACATCGGTTGTGCACCAAATGTTTGGGCGAACAAGTAGTAATATAACATTTCTAAGCAAGGTCCCTTTCTCGCTCATGTATAAACCACTTCTTACCCCACAGCTGGCTGGCCATCGGTGACGTGGAAGGGAAGTGGCGCACACATGCCCCCATCGGTTCAAGCCGCTCGAACCCTTGCTCACAACTACTCCCCGACTACGCTTCTGACCTGCTTGTGGGCCTAGCTGACTGGCGGGTCCCCCCATTTTGCTATATTTTTATTTGAATTTCTTTTCCTTTATTTATCTCAAAAATAAGACTGTAAAAATCATAGAAAATCACATAATTACCCAAAAATTCACGTTAATCAACTAAAAACCAATTTTCACACTTTAACACAAATATAAGTCTATTTATCATGAGTCAAAGCTAAAATTATATTATTTACTAATTATTAACTTATGATAATGAAGACTTATCAATTGCCCTCGTTAGTGTGCCGCATAGCTCTCATTTTCTCAAAAGATCTTGGCCTATTTGCTAAGTCTCATCTCCACATACTCCACACATAAATCATCATCTATGTGGTACCACCGAAAATAGGAGTTCATACTAGACTCCCAATCTATGAAGTCCTTGGGCTCACAGGAGATGTGAAAGACTATCACATCAGCGCGCACACTTTTTAGTATGCGGGCCCTGTGATCCTCACGTTGCCTGTCCTGATCATCCAATCAATCGGTCTTATGGTCACCACCAAAGTCATGGTGAGGAGGACTCGAGTAACACCCTTGATTGTAGTAATAATCCTAGTGGGCATCTTGGGTGCTCAGTGAAAGTCTAGAGTATGTTGGTAGTCACAGTAGGAATCATCGCGATCTCGTGACTGATGCTCTGCTCGTTGATCGAGCTCCTCTCGTCAGGAAGGGTCAGCTCTGTAACCCAAAAGGTCTCTCTTGTCATGTCCTTGGTCACGTCCGTGGGGTCAATAGTCCTCGTAGTGGGGTCGGGGTGGTGGTGACGGCGAATGTGGGAGATCGTCCTTACGAGTAGGGTAGACCGGCTCACGGCAATCATAAGTATCCTATGGCCAACTATCGCCCAATTGATTGTGGCCATCGTCATGACATGATGCGTCGCGGCGACAAAGATTCCCTCGACGATGATCGTAATCGAGCTACTAGTGATCATATGGATCACTATAGGGGCTCACGGGCTAGCAAGACTCACAATGCTCTTGATATGTGATAAGTCTTCATTATCATGAGTTAATAATTAGTAAATAATATAGTTTTAGCCTTAACTCATGATAAATAGACTTATATTTGTGTTAAAGAATGATTTTTGGTTTTCAATTGATTAACGTGAATTTTTGGGTAATTATGTGATTTTATATGATTTTTACAGTCTTACTTTTGAGATAAATGAAGAACAAGAAATAAAAATAAAAATATTGCAAAAATGGGGGGACCCGCCAGCCAGCCGTGCCCGCAAGTGGGTCGGAAGCGCAGTCGGGGAGTAACCCGCGAGCAGGGGCTCGAGTGGCTTGGCTTGGGGACCGACAGGGCACGTGTACGCCACTCCCCTTCCACGTCACCGGTGGCCAGCCGGCTGTGGGGCAAGGAGTAGTCATACATGCGAGAGAAGGGACTTTGCTCAAAGCTAACATTACTATATATTTGCCCGAAAAATCGGCGTACAACCGATGTGGGACTAAACGCTCCTCACACCTTCCTCAGAAGAGGCGGGCGACCGGCGCGGGTTCGAATCCTTCTAGAGTCAAAATTCATATATTTTTATTTGATTATCGTGACTTTCCTGCAAATCACCGGGGAAGGATTTAGCAACGAGAATCGCTGGACCATCGGCAAAATCTCATCAACGCGATTCGCGGAGCATTGCTACTAAAATTGCTGAACGATTCGCGATAAAAGGATCGTGAATCCATCGAGTAAATCATCTCCGATTGATCGATGAACAAGCCATCGTCAGGAAGAGGACGATCCGCCGGGAGACCAGTCGCCACCTCCTGAGAGCGTACCAGATGCGATGAAGAGCCTCCTCTTGCTGCGCGGACCTAAGGATGAAGCTCCCTAACACGCGCCCCACCTCCATCCGGCTCCTCTCCGTCGAGTGACAGTCGCCAGAGAGCCGCAAAGTCGCCGTTTTTCCGCTCCGCTGGGTGACAGCCGCCGGAGACGATTCGACGACCCACTTCATTGATCTCTAGACTTCGCGAGAAGATCTAGAGATTGCCCACGTCGTCTTTGTCCAAGGAGAGCCTTTGAGGCCGTGGACACTGCACGACGATCCTCCCGAACACTCAGGATTCCGGTGCATCGCCAACACATTGCCGTCACGACGCCAGAACTCTGTTTTCCTACTTTCAATTTAATTTACGCTTCATTTACTGATACTTTGTGTGATTTTAATTTACCAAACTATACTTTGTTAAATTACGATTCTTCTGGCTTTTACAGATCTTAATTTGATTAATTAAGTCGTCTGTAATCGCTTATGTAAGAATCGCCGGGCGGAACTCTGTTTTTGTCTGATTCGCGTTCGTCAGGCACTAACGTCATCCTGACGTCCGCACCCTTATTTCCTTTTTTTCGTGAATTTTAAATATATTTCCTTTTTATTTCCTAGTATAAAATTCGTAAGAAAATCGTATTCATTGAGAAAAATTCTGAATAATTACCAGATATTATATTACATTCCTGTGATCGACCTGGAAAATTATCGCTATTTTTGGAATTTTTATTGAATTATAATTGATATATTTATTTAGAAATACTTTTAAATATCTGAAAATTCGTATTTTCTAGTTTTATAAATTTCATATTTGCGTGATTTAAATTTTATATTAGTCAAAATTTTACATTAACCAACTAAAAACTACTTTTCTTAATTTAACACGAATATAAGTCAATTATCATAGGTTAAGACTTAAAATAGATTATTAATTAATTATTAACTTTTGTAGTACTTAGATATTATTGAGTAAAAAAATGATGTTGATGCATTCAGTTCTTTAGTAGTTACTTTTTCTAGTTCCACCATAAATGAAATGATGTGGGTACATTCACTTCTTTAGTAGTTGTTCTTTTTAGTTCATACTCAAATGATTATGATTGCAACAACCAACTAGTAATTTTCATCTCAAGTAACCCAACATTTCATGAATGAACGAAGGACATTAAGGTGGATTATCATTATATTTATAATAAAATCCTTAAAGGACCGATAAGTCTACATTATCATGAGTTAATAATTAATAAATAATATATTTTAAACCTTAATTCATAATAAATAGACTTATATTTGTGTTAAATTATTAAAAAATATTTTTGATTGATTAATGTATTTTTTAGCTAATTATATAATTTTTTGGAAATTTATACAATTTTCATAATCATATTTTTGAGATAAATAAAGAAAAAAAATAAAAAAAGGGGGGCACCTGCCGGCCAGCTGGGCCTACAAGTGGGTTGGAAGCGTAATCGAGGGGAGCCACGAGCAAGGGCTTGAGTGACTTTAGACCAATGAGGGTATATGTGCGTCACTCCCCTTCCACATCACTGATGGCCAACTAGGTGTGGGACAAGGAGTGGCCGTACATACATGAGAAAGTCACTCATTGTTTTTAAATGTGGTATTACTATATATTTGTCTCAACATTTAGCATATAACACATGTGGAACTAAACTAGTAGTCACACCTTCTCTAGAATGTTTTTAAATATTTTAATATAAAAAATATCTCTTATTTATAATAACTAGATACCTTGATGATGTCACTATATAAGGGTATTTGAGTACTTCTTTCACTCTCTCATTTAGGCAGATGACTGATGTAGGTTCGAGTCCTACTAGAGCCAAAACTCATATTTTTATTTAATTAAATCGTGACTTTTATACAGATCACCAATGAAGGATTAAGCCATCAAAATCATTTAATCATCAACAAAAATCTCGCCAATATAATTTACAAAGTATTATTACTAAAATTACTAAATAATTTAAAATAAAAGGATCACGAATCTATCGAATAAATCATCTTTAATTGATCGACAAATAGGCTATCATCAAGAAGAGGACGATTCACCAAGAGACAAGTTGCCACCTCTTTAGAGCATATTAGATGCAATGAAGAGCCTCCTCTTATTGTACGGACGTGAGGATGAAACTCCCTAACATGTGCTCCATCTCTATCCAGCTCTTTTCTCTTGGTTGACAATTGTCGTAGAGCCACAAAGTCGTCATTTTTCTACTCTATTGAATGACTGCAGCAAGAGATGATTCGACAACCTATTTTATTGATCTCTAGACTTCAGAAGAAGATCAAAAGATTATCCATATCGTCCTTGTCCAAAGAGAGCCTTCAAAACTATAAACACTACAAGATAATCATCTTAAATCCTCAAAATTCCAGTACATCATTGATGCATATCATTGTGATATTAGAACTTTACTTTTCCTACTTTCAACTTAATTTGCACTTCATTTAGAGATAATTTATGTGATTTAAATTTTCAAAACTATTCTACATTCAATTACGATTCTTATAACTTTTATAAATTTTAATTTGACCAAGTAATCACTTACAAAAGAATCATCAGGTGGAACTTTGTTTCTGTCTAATTTGCATTTGTCGGGTGTTGATATCATCTTTAAGTCCACCACCCTTATTTCCCTTTTTTGTGATTTTTAAATATTTTTTTATTTCTTAGTCTAAAATTCATAAAAAATTATATATTCTTTCAGAAAAAATCTAAAATATTACCAAATATTATATTACATCCTTGTGATCAACCTGAAATTTTTTGCCTATTTTTGAAACTTTTATTAAATTAGAATTAATTTACTTTTTTAGAAATACTTCTAAATATCTAAAAGTTAGAATTTTCTAGTTTTATAAATTTTAAATTTGTGTGATTTACTATACAACAACTAAGTCACTCAAATTTTGGTACTGTTGTTGGGGATGTATTACATAATATTTGATATTTTCTACTTTTCACTTAGAGTATAGAAAAGAAATTATGAAGTCACTCTAATTTTGTTTTATTCTTGCAAAAAAATGAAAAAATAATAACAAAGAGCATTGATGGTACTCTAGTTGTTGTTTTAAGAAGTAATCAATTTTAGAATTTATTAAAACCAAATCTCTGAAAATTAAAAATTTGATTATTTATAATGTATAGCAGATTTGGGTCGATCCACAGAGAAAACTTTATATTATGTAATCCACGAATATTTTCTATTAAGTGTTTTCACGAGGTTAAAAATAGAAAAAGAAATGAAAGAGTAATATTATGAGTCTATGAAAAATGATAGAGGTGAAAACACCTCCACCAGTAGCTAGTCTACTGGCAGAGCACTAAACTTGTTCAACATTCATAAAGAAAAAAAAATACAGAATGAAATACATGCGGAAATTAAAACACCCAATTTGAAGTTTGAGAGTGTGGATGCTGTTGCAGCAGTGCTCGACTCCTCTTCTACCTATCACATAGTGAAGAAGTTCGCAACCAATGCTGTTGCTGCTGCTGCTATCAAGAGCATATTGTTGTCACTGTCACCACTACCACCATGCTCATCTCCTCCTTTGCCTATCATGCAAAATGAGAGTTTGCAGCCACTACCACTATTGCCACCAGTAGCTAGTCTACCGGCGGAGCACTAAACTTGTTCAACATTCATAAAGAAAAAGAAATACAGAATGAAATACATGCGGAAATTAAAACACCCAATTTGAAGTTTGAGAGTGTGGATGCTGTTGCAGCAGTGCTCGACTCCTCTTCTACCTATCACATAGTGAAGAAGTTCGCAACCAATGCTGTTGCTGCTGCTGCTATCAAGAGCATATTGTTGTCACTGTCACCACTACCACCATGCTCATCTCCTCCTTTGCCTATCATGCAAAATGAGAGTTTGCAGCCACTACCACTATTGCCACCACTACTATTGTCACTGTCATGAGTGCCGATACCACCATGCTCGTCTCATCCTTTGCCTGTCACATAAAATGGGAGTTCATAGCTACTTCTACTGTTGTCACTACTATTGCTGTCACTGTTGTGGGCGGCACCACCACCGTGCTCAGCCCCTTCTCTACTTGTCACACAAAATGGGACTCATCACCACTATCGATGATGCTGCTGCTGTCGTCATCATGGTTATCGCTGTCGCGATTTTCCCTTCTTCCACTCGTCACCCTCCTCCATCTTGTCTCTACGAGTCAGCCCTAATTTCTCCGATTGTGCGTGCTTTCCCCTTCTCAGTCCTCTATCTCCCTTTAAATAACCCCATTAGAATGGGCTAGTATGGGGCCTTTTTGAGCCGACTATAATGGGTCCACTCATCAACTCATTAAACACTAAAACAAATATAGAGAATCCATTTAAACTGCCCTTCTTCTAATTTCCCAACGTGTAAATATAAGTTTTTCATCTATTAGAATACCTAGCATTCCATCAAAAAGAACTTTTGATTCAATAGAATATGCATGTTATAAAAGATATAAAATTTAATACTTTTGTATGTAACTGAAATAAATAATACAAATACACAAAGAAAACATGTTTACATAAAATGTATGTTTTCATTAAGAAATTTAAACTATAATCATATAAACTATGTATATCTTATCATATAATATTGAGGCTTTATCAAGTAGCAAAGCAAGGACTGGAGCATACTAAAAGAGGATAATAGTTATTAAACTTTTTCCTCGAATTGATTGATTTTTATGCATGGTAGAAGATCCTTACATCCAAGGCTTAAAAATTTCTTCACTATTTTGTGCAAAACTAAAAATCTAAAAAGAAAATTAATTTTGATGGATCCTGAAAGAACTATAGGTCAAATTGAGAACAATCTTATGGCTACGAAAGATCATTATATTCCTAATTCATTTCAAAGAGTATCCAATATTAGAGTTTCATTAGCATCCACTATTAAATTCAAAATAAATCTAAGAATTTTTTAAATGCTCTCAAATTTTAATCGATTGCCTTTAGAGGAACCTCATCATCATTTAGAAAAATTTCATATAGTCTATGATTTAGTTAATCTCTCTCAAGTTACACCAGAAATTATTAAGATAAATTTATTTCCTCATACACTTAAGGACAAAGCTAGTTATTGGCTATCCACATTATATAGTAACTAGTTAGAAAGAAATAAAATAAGCTTTTCTTTAAAAATTTTATCCAT